TTTTCAACAAAAAAGAACAAGCGATACTTTGTCCTTGTCATAAAACTGATCGGCATGTAGAAATAAAATGCTGATCTTCAAATAATTTCATGCTTCTGGTAATTGAAAAATTTTTAAACTTTGATGATGCACTGCTTAAAAATCAGATCCCATAAAAAATCGTGATTTTTAGGATTAGCAGAGGATACTCCATAAAAAAATATGACATAATAACGTTTCGAACAAAAACGAGATAATAATGAGAATGCAACATAATCTGTACACTATCTATAAGGTGCAATTTACTTTGAAGTATTTTCAAAAAAATCAAACCCAGTTTTTATCGAAGAATGATTTTATATTGCAGAAACATGTGAAAAATAATAAAAGGAATGTAACGATCAGAGTGTGTTACCATCTCAAATGATGCGTCGAAAAAAAATGGGTTTCTTATTTTGACAAACATTCCTCTCAGTCAACTGTCCACAACTCGATATATAGTTATAGAACCGTAGAAAAACGGATTTTACAGCGACGGTAATTTCGTGTGAAATTGATGTTCTATAACTCGAGTTCACTGTGCCGTGGACCCCCGGTAATCTGACCGTTTTTAATCCGATCACCTTTTTAGTTTGAACCCCGCTAATCTGCACGCAGGGCAAACTAAATGTTGCTCAAATGTCATTTAGCACATGGAATGGAGTGAACCCATTTAATGTGCCGTCCACTGCCACATCCATCGATGATATAATATATGATGATATGATAAGAAACAAAAGTTATTCCACTCACATTATTTTTATCTTTCAAGTTACACTGTAGATTTCCAACTCGTTTGACGATAGCTATTGCAGCAGCATCCGCGAACTAGGAGAACAAATTTATTATTTCACCCGCGTTTTATGAACTTCCAGTAAAAAAAAATTGGCGCGATAAAATATGACACACTTTTTAAGCATAAAAACCCGAGCTATTTCTTCGCTATTCTTCTTCCTGCACTGGTGCACACACATCCATGACAATCACAGAACTTGAACTAGAAACACCAGTACCAAAATTTGTATCTATCCAAACTGGCAAAACATTTATCATAAATTTTATTTTATTTTTTATATGCTTCTGACCTCGGTGTGCTTGGCCACGTCGTTATTATATTCATAAATTTGCTACCACGCACTACGGGCTGTTATACTTTTTTTCTGCGGTATCCACAACTTTCCGATGACTATTCCTATAGACAGCTGTTGGAAATTTATGTCTTCGCTTGAGTTTATTCTCTCACTTCCCAAACTATTTCGCCAGAATATGTGAGCATTTGTCTTCAAATGAAACTTGCACACTTTAAAATTCCACGATTAAATCGATTCATCGCCAGTGCACTATTCCGATTTGTAGTAATTGTCTTTGATTTTTTTGTGAGACATGTTCCCACCCACAATTTTTTTTTTGTAATTTACTATACTGTGTTACTATGAGCAATATTGTTTGCAATACAATTCCGATCCGAACGCCACCAAGTCCAAAACTCAACTGAAACTGAAACTTCTTAGCCGCTTCCTTTTTGTGAATTCCGGAAGCTCGGTTCTCGTTTTTGAAACGATACGATGGATGAAATTCTCACACGGTTGCTAGTTTTCGTGATTTCATATCCATTATACTTTCCTTGGATTCCTGTAAATCGACCAACACTGTTCAGATCGTTCATCTGAAGCACGTGGTGCCGAATTTCTCTCTGAGTAGGCCTTCGAATGCGCAAGTCTCTGTTTATGTTTACTGTCTGCCTTTGCAATCATATCAGCTAAGCAAGCTGGAAAACGCCGGCCGGCTAATACGGAGTCGCATCGCATGCTTACGAAAGACCGTGTGCACGTTCGGTCCCAGCCAGTGTGGTTAGTTCTACGGATTTTTAGATTTACTACGGATGTACGGACCGACCATAAAATTCGGATTTTCTAGATTTTAAGGGATTTGTTTTAAGTACCGAAGAAATTCTACGGATTCTAAAAAATTCCGTCATCATTTGAACTGTTTTTGGAAAATGGTTATTAAATCAAGCAATAATAAACGCAATGGAAACAAATTTACCTTTCGTACTCCAAGAAAAGTTAACAACACTGGTCCCAGCAGACCGCGATGAATGTTTGCGAGTGGTGGTTTATTTGCATGTAGGGAAAATGTAACAGTTGGGAAAAATCTTTGCAGCCCATCTCCTTGGCTGATTTGGGTCGGAATGTGGTTGGAACTCAAGTCACATAGCACAGCGGTATTTAGCAAACGAAATGCATGTTTATTTTACAGTCACGACATGTCCGTCATTCGTCTGCGGTGTAGAGAAGATAAGGGCTACGACCGAGAGAAACGAACGATTCCATCGAGCTGGCAGCAGAGGTCGGTTATTTGGATTAGAATGTATTAATTGTTTTAGTGTTCTTTTAGAATCCATGGCACGAAAGATCGAATCATAAGATACATAGCATTAAAATCTGATTAATTTATCCATCGTAGGTGCTTCTTCTTTCTTCTTTCCTTTATTTAACACCGGTCTCTCTATCCGCAATCTAGTGCCAATCACCGACGGACATCGATTGCCAAATCGAATGTGCAGGAAGGCAGCTTCCACCTGTGTAGGATATCGCACCCATTCAACAAACATGGGCCGAGCCGGGACCAACGGCTTTACGTCCCTTCCGAAGTAAGACCTTTCCTTTATTTAACGTCGGTCTCTGTTCTGCAATCCAGTGCCAATCACCGACGGACATCGATTGCCATCCATTGACGGCAATCGAATGTGCAGGAAGGCAGCTTCCACACCTGCGTAGGATATCGAACCCATTCAAACACACATGGGTCGGGACCAACGGCTTTACTTCCTTTCCGAAGTAAGACGTGACCAGAGATTTTTATGCCTCAGAAAAATCCCACCGACCTTGGCTGGGATTGAACCCAGACCCATTGGGGTGAGAAAGCAGCAGTACTTGAAATCGTCATCCATGTGGAATATTTTGTTTTTTTTTTATCGATTTCGCAGTCATCCGGTTGGTACTTCCACTTATTTTAAATGAGATTTTTTATTTTATTTAATTTAATTAAGATTTATAAACTTGTCACAGTGGTTATAATCTTCAGGGTTTTAATGTGTGGTAAGGTACGGTACACAAATCACAAAAAGCAAAAAAAAAAAAAATCCGAATTTTGGACCCCCTCCCCTCGTCGAGATTTCAACAGCCGAGTAATTCTGCAATTTATTTTGCTTAGATTCAGTAAAACAATTTCCGAGACAAATAACATTTTGCTGAGATATCAGCTAACAAACAAATATTTTGCAGATAAGCAAGTAAATGCTGAGCTAGATGAAGTATGTAAGTAATAATAATTATTAGTAAGTATAATAATTAGTAATTGGGGCCTCCCTTAGCTCAGTCGGTAAATGCGCAGCTACAAAGCAAGACCATGCTGGAGGCGGCTGGGTTCAATTCCCCGTCCGGTCTAGGAATTTTTCGGGTTGGAAAATTTCTCGACTTCCCTGGGCATAGAAGTATGATTGGACTTGCCACACAATTATACCAATGCAAAAATGGTACAGGCATCGAAAGCTATCAATTAATAACTGTGGAAGTGCATCTAGAACACTAAGTTGAGAGCACGCAATAAGCCAATATGCGATATGCAATAAGCTTGAAATTCGAAGAAGAAGAAGAAGAAGAAGAATTAGTAACTAAAGATATAATAATTAGTAGTAAGTATAATAATTAGTAGAAGTATTAAAAACAAAACAAAACGGAAACAAACCATACACGGTAAGAATTCAATTACATTTTATGAGTAAAATTTAACCCATGTTCAATAAAAGTGGCTTCACTCATTAGTAAGTAAATTATTATTACAATAATGAGTTGCTGCTAACAGTAGCTAGTTACTACTTCAGTGCCAACATTTCAAAGGGGCGTAATTGCTTTTGTAAACTATGGCTTTATACGTCGGTTTCTGGCAAATGAAAACCCACCCTTCCAAATTACAAATGCTAGCTGATACAGGAAACATTCCTCTGCGTGCTGGTGTCATTCATTTTCGTTATCAAATGTTACGCCTGAATTTAACAACCCTATTTTATGAGGGTGTTTCACCAACACACTTAGCACAGACAAACAGACATAACACATTGAATATTTCTCACTGTAAAACATCGTCACTAAAACATTACCGCCATCTATTGAGTAGACAGTGGTGGGCACTACGTTGAACAGATGGCGGTAGTGTGTAAACGTCATACGCAAGGGAATTGACTATGCGCGCCACAGGTGGCGGTACTACCAACTACGATACTTTTAAATTGTTCGTTAAATGCTTGTTCGATGAACAACTTACGAGTGTTATGTCTGTTTTTCTGTGCACTTAGGTTGTGTTCCATTTGGTGAATTTTCACTTAAATTTGACAGATGGGAAATTTTCAAATAAACCTGCTATTCCAGCAGACTTATTTCTGACAGACAAGGCATCGACGGTCGATCAACAAGATCAACAACTGAGGGATTTTCGAACATCTTAATTTATTTTCCAAGTGTCAAATTTCAGTAAAAAATTCCAAATGGAACACAGCTTTAGATGGGCACCACCGAACAGCGCGGCAATTTATTTTTCTGTATCTCAGAGAAAAATTTGCCGAGATTCAGTTAACAAACGGGAATTTTGCCGAGATCTCGTCTAACAAACATAAATTTTGCTGAGATCTCAGTAAAATAAATGCCATGTCTGCTCGGTGGTGCTAATCTCTTTAAAAAAAACTAAGTGTGAACAATTGAGGGAAAACTACTTAATTTTGGGTTGTTTTTCATCTTCGTGTGCCTACACACTTAACAACCCTATTTTATCAGAGAGCTTCACCAACACTTTCAAAATACGTATGTTGAGAACCTTACGATGTGAAACCTTGACGAATTTTGACGTTTCTTTCTGTGTGGCACTTCGCATCGCGTGTTGTATTATAAAAAACATCCGTTCCTTTGCACGCTTGCGCTGTGAATAGTAAACAGTTGTGATTTTAATTGCATATTTTTGTGAAAATCCTTTTGTTACCACCTAGGTAACTCTGTTAAGTGAAGCATTTTACAACAAACTTGATGTTCTGCGTTTATTCAAAGCGGTAAGTACTTGAAAAATGTGTCCTCTGTTGAAAATATTCGCCAAGGACCGTTGCCTGGAAGTGTTGTTTTGATTGAGTTTCCTTTTCGCTTGACACTTCGTTGCACATTTGCACTGATTGATAACCACCACATGATTCAGCAGCTAGCAGACCATCATTCCAATTCGGCTTGGCACGCTGCGTGTGGAAGAAGATCGGTGTGTGAATCCAGGTTGCAATAAAGGGAATCATCCAATCTGACGAAATTCCAGTTTCGAATGAGTGGTAGGTAAAGAAGTTCCACGACTGATAAAACATTTCATAGTGCGGAGCATCAGCATCAGCCGCAGTAAAGGGAGAGCAACAACAGGTAACTACCGCCGAGTGACTAGCAGAGAGGACTTGGGGAAACCGGCGGAGGAAAACTTGTTTCTCGTCAGCAATTTTCACTTTACGTCGACGTCTATCCAGCTCGCAGTCATCGCTCGGAGATTCGATCAGTCGGACGTGTTTGGTTTCCGTTCCTGGTAACGGCTTGCTGGAATAAGTCGGCAGAATATTGGTCACCCAAAGGAATAGATACTCTGAAAAAGCTCTCTCGTCTTGTGACATAACTAGTTACCCTGAAAACGGATCATATTACTCGGATGTGCTGGTTCAACGTGTCCGGAATTATATAATAAGCACAAGGAGCAACCAGTTCACTAGTTCAGAAGATCTAAACCGTTGACCTACTGCAGGAATAACGGTGCTGCGCGAGCTTCAGAGAAAGTGTCTTGAATGGAAGACGTGGAACAGTGAAGCAAACAAGAAAAAAGAAAGTTTAACTTTTGCGTGGTTTTATCTTTCGTGTCTCATTGAGAAGAAAGTTTTTTTTTATCTTTCGTAAGTGTAGCTGAAATTGTTAGTGGATAAAGGTAACAATGAGCAGTTGGCCGAATAATGTTGGAATTTTGGCGCTGGAGGTAGTTTTTCCCTCGCAGTATGTGGATCAAACGGAACTAGAGGTGTTCGATGGAGTTTCTGCGGGGAAATATACGATCGGACTGGGTCAAAGTCGAATGGGCTTTTGTTCGGATCGCGAGGATGTCAATTCGTTGTGTCTGACCGTAGTTAACAACCTGTTGGAGCGTCATAATATTCCCCATTCGAAAATCGGCTATCTAGAAGTCGGAACCGAAACCTTAGTGGATAAGTCGAAGAGTGTAAAGTCAGTGCTGATGCAATTATTCAAACCACACGCAGTCACGAACTTGGAAGGAATTGATACAACTAACGCATGCTACGGTGGTACTGCAGCTTTGTTCCATGCATGGAACTGGGTCGAGTCTTCCAGCTGGGATGGACGACTTGCATTGGTTGTCTGTGCTGACATTGCTGTGTATGCCCAGGGATCTGCCAGGCCTACTGGAGGTGCGGGAGCAATAGCCATGTTGGTCGGCCCCAATGCCCCTCTAGTGTTGGATCGCGGTCTTCGTTCGACATTCATGGACCACGCCTATGACTTTTATAAGCCGGATCTCAGCTCCGAATATCCGGTGGTAGATGGCAAGCTATCAATCCAATGCTACTTGGGTGCGCTAGACAATTGCTACCAATTATATAGAAAAAAGTATACTCAACAGAATCCGAGAGCCAGTGTAAACCTGGACGTTTTCGATGCCGTTATTTTTCATTCGCCTTACTGTAAGTTGGTCCAGAAATCGCTTGCGCGTTTGGGCTTGAACGACTTTGTACTTACACCGGAAAATGAACGTGCATCAGCCTATCCCGGGTTCGAGCAGTTCCAGAACGTGAAACTGGAAGAAACATACTTCGATCGTGATGTGGAGAAAGCTTTCATGACCCATTATGCTCCAGTATTCAATGCCAAGACGAAAAAATCGCTACACTTGGCTAATCAAGTCGGCAATATGTACACTCCATCTGTGTACAGCGGTTTGGTTTCCCTGCTGATTAACAGTGAACTGTCTGAGCTGGCTGGCAAAAGAATAGGAGTCTTTTCATATGGCTCTGGATTGGCTTCTTCGATGTATTCTATATCGATAACAAAGGATAGTCACGCTTTGGCCGAATTCAAGACTCATCTAAATTATGTCCATCCCCTGCTGGATTCCCGACAGAAGGTGGCCCCGGAAGAATTTACCAAGCTTATGGAGATTCGCGAAAAGAACAACCACGCGGCACCTTACGAACCATCCGGAAGCGTGGAAGTACTCTTCCCTGGAACCTTCTATCTCCAATCGGTTGATAAGATGCACCGACGTGTGTACGAGAAGGCTCCGCCGAAACCTGCTCAAACGACGAACTGTACTTCCTAGTGACCTTCATCGAGGAACTTCGAGCGATCCATAAAGAACGTCAGATCGGGTTTTCCTCACGTTTTGGGCTCTAAGATTAAAGTTATTTATTCTCTGTGAAGGTCTAATTTTACGTTTTGGCTTCTTGTACTATAATGGATGTGTCAAATGTAGTGACTTTTCTTAGTTTAATTTCAGTTGTTAAATCTCAAGTTGAAAAACGAATTACCAGTTAAGAAAAGTGCTTACAAACAATGATTTAGCATGACTAGACAATAAAATACCAACCAATTGTAGTCCGTAAATATTATTGTTTTCAAACTTAGTTCTGCTAAAAGACTGATTGGTCATTCTTATGCTTTGATTTAACTTCGCTAGGGTAGCTGCCGAACCGACTTAGATAGCAACAATCTTTAAACTGCATCAACCAAAAAGTAAATCCACAACAGGGGCATCAATAATACATTTCTAATATTGTAACGGCAAATCAAACATAACTGTAAAAGTTCATCGAAGTAGATTTCAGCGACAACTGTAAATCGAACGGTAATTTTCTGCGCATAAAAATGAAACAAATCTAAACGTTGAAGTTTATAGGATAAATCAATCGGAAATATGCAATAAAACTTTGTCTTGTATGGGATACTTTGTACAAAAAAAAATGTTGATTTAGTGTAAAGTGTTGTCCGAAACTTCCTGAATTTGGTTTTATGGCCTCTCTCATTATAGTAATAGTTATCAAATTGTGACTAAAGCATCTTAATCTCACAGTGGATTCGAATTCAAGTGTTGGCTTTGCGATGTTGTGTGGCGGTGGCTCGTTTCCTACCTCTGGTATTAAGATTAATGATAAGATAGCACCACCGGGTCGATGTCTTGCGTGGAGAATCATGTGGAAAGAGGGTTAATTTATTTTTGACAGTCTATTAGTATCAGCGCATACCATTCAATTGTATCCCACCGTCAGAAAGAAGGCTACCATAACTCAAACTTTGCGCTGAATCAACGATTGAAAGAAATATTTCATCGTCTTACGGAAACTCTATCCCTTAGCTCGTGGGATTCTGACGTTGAATCTGAATATTTTGATTATTTTTAATTCTTAATTAATGCAGAATGCAACAACACGCCCCCTCGAGTTATGTTCTCAATTTAAACAATTACTAAGTAGTATATGAAAGATCAATAAGTGAGCTTACTTGCAGAAGATTTGATTAAATACACAAACCAAGTAATAGTTTTAGCTTTATTTCAGTCTTATTCACCATGTTTCAGACTTCAAATCCAAAATGAAAAAATTATTTTAACAACTTCAAATGGCAATATTGTTGATTCAAAGCCTAATAGGTTTTTATTATAAATTGCAATACAGTGTATCTATGATTGTTTCTTCAAAAACATATTGTTGAATCATCAAAACGGATATAAAATCAATAAATTGTTTGTTGTGTTACAATATGGTTTATTATCAAATCTATCAAAGAAAACCTTAATAAAACTTGCTATTTTCCCTTGGGAAATGTTTTGGTGTGTTATTTATAAAAAAAAAAGTTCTACCAGAGTGGCCACTTCGTATTTCTTGGCCGTTTTTTTGGCGTTTAAGAGATGAACTAGCATCTCTGAACCACGGAATTCTTCTTAAATTCACATAAAAAAAATCCCTACAGCTTTTCTTGTAAATTGGAATTCTCTTGAAACTATCCTTGATAATTTCCATGGAACTCTTCATAGAATTCCTTTAATATTATCCGGAGAATTCAATTCCTTTGAAAGTTTTCTCAAAATTTTTATAATTTTGGATCTTTTTTTTTCAAAAGAATTGTATTTATAGGATAATATTAATCAAAACTCTACTTACGAATCCTCCTGAGTCTATTCTTTTCAAAATTGTGCCCTGAACACCTTTTAAGTTATAATTTATAATTTTCTTTAAATTTTCTAGGAATTATCCTTATAACTCACTTGCTATCCTCCTCACGTACTCCATAAAATTCTCCTCAGAATAACCAAAGAATTCTCTTCGAAGTTCTTTTCAAAGCTCCCATGGAATTATTCTAAGAATTAGCAAGAAATTCAATTCAAAAATTCCTTTCTTTTCCCCAGAAATTTCTTGGACTTCATCCCAGGATTCCTTAAGACATTATCTTAGAATTATTATGGAATCCTGGTCAAAGCTCCTTGAAGCTGTTTACCACAATTTTGTAGTAATTCTTTACTAATCGGTCTAAGAACCTATTCAACCCAATAGCATTCGGTCTAGTTACCTTAAAATATTCCATGAGCTGGTGGATTAGTTCTTCACACTACTCCCCCTTATTCTGCGAGTCACGTGACTCTCTCTCACCGGTGAGGTGACAATTGTCACCTCACCGGTGACAGAGAGTCACGTGACTCGCAGAATAAGGGGGACTGTGTTACCTGACTTATAACGAATATACGTTGTATACGAGTACCCTGTACGATTAGTTCGTCTAATTTTACATTGCAAATGCTATGCAAAATTAGACGAGACATACGTTGTATTCGGGGTACTCGTATACAACGTATATTCGTTATAAGTCAGGTAACACAGTAGCCAAATAAGCTTCGTTGGGGTGCTCTATAGTGATAGCCTGGCATAGCTGCCCACGGTCGTTGAATACGATGAGGAAGAGTAGCAGTCATAGTACACATTCTTGTCTCACACTAGTGACGACCCGAATAGGGTCGGAAAAGGCTCTATTATGCAGACCTCTACTCATGAAGACTTCGTATTTTCACTCGCATTTCTGCTCAAACGGTTTTGTAAAGGGGCTAGGTGGTCTAATAGTGAGCGTTTTTTGCTGACTGAACAAAATATCGTGGGATCAATCCCAGGCCGTTTTACATTTCGGTATATCATGTGTATGGTTATCAAATTAACTTGGACTTAATTGAACAATCTGTTTTTTGACAAACAAACCATGAACTGAAATCTTTGAACATCAACATAATATTATAATCAGGTGTGATGCCTGAATGTTTTACGAACCCATTAAATGTTGTGATAAGTGACACTCGAATTAGATTGCCTTAGCTTATACATCTGGTCTAGCTAGGCAGGACATAACCTCATCCTAGTGATTCACTTGTTTCAAACATCAGCAACCTTGACTTAATCACCCCAATCATGACGCATCTGGATTTTCCCAAAGTTAGTCGTCAATGGTTTATTTTGAATTACCTATCCACATGACCGAACAACCGGCTAGCTACTTCTGTCCGATCATATCCATTTATAGCTAGCTTTATATGTGCAAGCCGAGTGCAAATCATCAACAAACCCATTCCCAGCTATCTCCACTACGTGCCGCATTTCTCCAGCAATATCATTCGTTTCAACGTAACAGTTTCCAACTGTTTTTACTTTCTGCTGGTGTGCGCGCTAAGCCATTTCGATCGCAGCAAGACGATTCTCTTGAGCAAGTGTAAAAGGGGAAGTTTGACGTACACTTGATTGTTTTACGCTATGTACTGTTTGTGTTAGTCTTCCGCAGAATTGAATGAAGGGGTCACTCCGTTTCATCAATTAGGATCTAATTGAACGGACAGTGCAGTATGATCAGTTCGTAGGGTTGAATTACGTGTCGAGAATTATTTATTGAGGATTCTGACTTCTGACACACATTTTCACTTTAAATCTAAAATTATCTACTAAAGTGTTTATTTGTTACATAAATTGCCTCCTTCAGTAATCCCAATCGGTCATTCCTCGTAGGATGATGTTCAGCTTGGGCTCAAATCGATAGAAATTGGCTCCAGTTGGGTTGATTCGTGTCTCGAATGATCCATTCGATGGTACAAAAATTGGTTTTCGCTCTTTGTCGAATAAATCCTGTAATTACGTGAGTCTCTTTTTAAAAATTCGAATCGTTATTAACTTTACTATCGTTTTCAGCTGCTCAGCCTATGTACGATTTTCAATTACCGAAGTAATTTAATCGATTGATATACTTACGTAAACCTTATATCCTTTTACGTAGTTGTTATCCGTGAACCCGAGATCGTCAGCTAGTTTCACATTGATAGCATACGGTGCCCCATCGGCTCGACGACTGACGAAAGCCACTACTTGCGTCAATTCACTCTTCACCTTGGGAAGTATAGGACGTTTCCAAATCTATGCGAATAGAAATCTCATCAACTAGAGAAAAATATTCCAGTTCCAAATAGTTTAACATTCCATTTCCTTTGACCAAAGTTGAGAAGATCAGGTTTAGTTCAACTAAGCCTTCCCACAGTTGGCTTGTGTGTTCGCTTATCATAAATCGCGATGGTCTTAGCTATGTCTAAAAATATGTGACTTGTGTTGGCCCTGATTTGTAATTCAAATTTTCTCTTTCGCCATCGCCTGTTGTTTGGAAGATCTTACGACACTCTTATGGGCGTCGATGATTGGCATCGTTGTGTTGCGCAGGGACCTAAGTGGCTCTTGGAAATGGCGAGAAAACATACTTTGGTCTATCAATTAATTAGTCGGCTGTATTCTAGGAACTGAGTCGAAAGTTTTGAGTGATAGAATACTGCCGATACTCGCATAATTGTCCCATCTTTGCTTGATTTTCTATTCATATGGGACAGTTATGCTTTTATGGGCAGAATAGGTTCAACGTATTTGCGAGAAGATTTGAACGAGAACCTGTTTTATGTCTTAAGCAATGTCATTTGTGTGTGCGTATGACTCTTCTCCAATGGCGCGTTGCGAGTTGTCTAATCAAACACATCATCGAATGCTTCGCGGGGAGCAGAGTCACGATATTCAAATATTGTCATTATCACCTACGGACATGTCTCCAAGTGGCAGATGTTGGGCGCGTACATAATGTGTGAGCTAGGTTGAATATGATACTCACCTCAATTTTGTTAAAAGTTTTTACCATTAGGCCTTGGATACCAAGACGGTCTTGGTTAGCTGCTATGATCTCCTTATTTAGCAGAAGTTCTCTGATCTCGGGAGGAACGGTGGCCAGATCATTGGACAAAAGAAACGGCGCTGCGAGGACAGTCCAAACGGCCAATTGTGATTTGCTTTGCTCGTAGCTCAGACCGTAGTTTCCCAAGACAAGCTGCAAATTGTCAATTTACACTTACGGGTGACAATATGAACACCATTTAGTTACCACTCACAGTATCAGGATC